GATCGAGATCAATCCTGATAAAATCAAGGCCATCGAAGACATCACCGTCGTGGATAGTGTAAAAGCCATGTAGAGGCTAACTGGACGGATAGCTATTTTAGGCCGATTTATCTCGAGGTCATCAGATCGAAGCCACAGATTTTTCTCTTTACTCAAAAAGAAGAACAATTTCACCTGGACCCCGGAGTGCCAACAAGCACTAGAGGAATTAAAGCAATACCTATCGACCCCACCACTACTTCACACTCCAAAGGCAGATGAGAAACTTTACTTGTACTTGGCGGTATCGGAAATCGCAGTAAGTGGTGTCCTAGTTCGAGAAGAGCAAGGTATGCAATTTCCCATTTATTATGTAAGTCGAACCTTAAGAGAGGCAGAAACTAGATATCCACACTTAGAAAAATTGGCACTTGCACTGATAAGAGCTTCTAGAAAGTTAAAACCATACTTTCAATATCACCCCATATGTGTGTTAACCACTTATCTACTTCGTAATATTTTGCACAAGCCCGAGCTATCGGGCCGACTGGCCAAATGGACCGTCGAGCTCAGCGGGTACGATATCAAATATCAACCCTGCACGGCCATCAAGTCTCAAATTTTAACGGTCTTCATGGCCGATTTCACTCCAACCCTCATACCCGAAGTTAAAAAGGAACTCTTGTTAAAAATAGGCACATCATCGGGCTATGGACCATTTTCACAGACGGTTCTTCCAATGTGAAGAGGTCCGAGCTAGGCATCGTTTTGAAGCCGCCCACAGGTAGTACTATTACGCAGTCTATCAAAACTTCTAGGTTGACTAATAATGAGGCCGAATACTAGGCCATGATTGCAGGTCTCAAACTAGCTTAAATCTTGGGAGCAGAAGTCATTGAAGCCAAGTGTGACTCTTTATTGGCGGTGAACCAAGTAAACAAAAGTTTTGAATTTCGAGAGGATAGAATGCAAAGGTATTTGGACAAGCTGCAGTGAACTTTGCAACGCTTCAAGGAGTGGACTTTAGACCATGTTCCTCAAGAACAAAACAGTGAGGTCGATGCACTTGCAAATTTGGGGTCATCGATCGAGGAAGACGAGATCAGCCTGGGGACTATCATTCAGCTATCGAGATCTGTGATCGAGGAGGGTCATACCGAGATAAACTCTACAAGCTTGACCTGGGATTGGAGGAATAAATATATTGAATACTTGAAGAACGGAAAACTTCCATCGGACCCTAAAGAGTCGAGGGCCCTACGAACCAGAGCTGCTCGATTCACATTGGATGAAGGTGGAACGTTGTACAGAAGGATATTTGATGGACCATTGGCAGTATGTTTAGGGGCGGGGGACACTGATTATGTTTTACGAGAGGTCCATGAAGGCACTTGTGGAAACCACTCCGGTGCCGAATCTTTGATTCACAAAATCATTAGAGAAGGATACTACTGGGATAGCATGGAAAAAGACACTAAGGAGTTTGTTCAAAAATGTGATAAATGTCAAAGTTTTGCACCGATGATCCACCATCCCGGAGAACAACTTCATTCAATTTTGTCCCCGTGGCCATTCATGAAATGGGGGATGGATATCATCAGCCCTCTGCCATCGGCTCCAGGTAAATCCAAATTCATTTTATTTATGACTGACTACTTTTCTAAATGGGTGGAAGCACAGGCCTTCGAAAGGTCAAAGAAAAAGAAGTTATAGACTTCATATGGGATCACATGTCTGCCGATTTGGGATACCTGCCAAAATCATATGCGATAACGAAAGCAATTCATCGGCAGCAAGGTAACGAAGTTTATCGAAGAACATAAAATAAAAAGGATCTTATCGATGTCATATCACCCGAGTGGGAAAGGACATGCCGAATTGACGAACAAGACTATCATTCAAAACTTAAAGAAAAGGTTGAACGACGCTAAGGGAAAATGGAGAGAAGTTCTACCCGAAGTCCTTTGGGCGTATTGAACAACATCGAAGTCCATCATGGGGGCAACCCCGTTCTCCTTAGTATATGGCTCCGAGGCCTTAATTCCAGTCGAGGTCGGGGAACCTAGCGTCAGATTTCAACATGCAATGGAGGAATCAAATCACGAGGCTATGAATACTAGCCTCGAACTATTGGATGAAAAACAAGAAGCTGCTCTTGTTCGGGTGGCTGCATATAAGCAAAGAATCTAGAGATATTATAATAGAAGAGCCAACTTTCGCCACTTCGGAATCGGGGACTTAGTTTTAAGGAAAGTCACCCTCAATACTCGAGACCAAGACGAAGGAAAACTAGGCCCAAATTGGGAAAGACCATATCGGGTCCTCGGTATCATCGGAAAGGGATCTTACAAACTTGGCCCAATTGAGGGCGAACAATTACCAAACAATTGGAATGTATCACTACTCAAACGATATTATTGCTAAGGTATGACTTTCTCCCTTTTCCATTTGTATTTGATACTAACTTATTGCAGGTGCTGGATCAAAGAAGTCGAGAAAACTCTTCAACACGAAGACCTTAGGTTTTAAAGCACGCGTTGCACTCTTTTTTCGCTTAGATCGATTTTTATCCCAAATGGGTTTTTCCGGCGAGGTTTTTAACGAGGCAACAATTATGTGCTATCTGAGAAAATTTCAACAGTATCCAAGGCTTCTTTACAATCAACCTCGAATACTGGGGGGCATCACCCTTGGATGTTATATTTTCGAGAAAAATACTTCATATCAAAGGGTCTCGGTAGGGAAACTTTGTAGTGGGCCAAATAGTCGAATGAACCGTGTCCACATAGATTAGTCGAGCCCCGACGGCAAAACATGTACGCATGTATGAATTATTCAATGAAACACTCTTTCTATATCAAACACTTTGTGTCTCAAAGAAAATTTGCTACTATACGAGCTCCATACTTATGATTTTGCGAAATGGCTCAAGGGCCAAGCGCAAATATACCTCGAACGCTCGGGGACTGTCGTCGACAATCAACATATTCGAGTTATCTAAACTCGAATTCGTAAGAACTCAAAGAGGCGCCCCTCGATCTATAGGCCAAGCCCATCATTTTTGGGGACTAACACTTCGAACAAGTTCGAAGTGTTATTAGGGAATAATCCCAAGAGGCATGCCCAAAGGCTACAACCAAATTAATGCGGCTCGGAGATGTCCGAATCCCGCAATCATAATAGGCTTTCAAATTCTTTGAAAAACTAGTTTAAAAAGGCTACCCTCGGCGAATAATCAAAAAGGGCTTCAATAAAATCAGCCCTCAAAAAACCTTAAGAGGTATTAAATTATCTTAATACAAACATGCTAAGGCACAAAAAGCAAAAGGGTTTCGATCAACATCGAACCCTCAAAAAATTCAATAGGTAAAAAATACATGTTAAGGCATAAAAAAAATTTCACTAAGTATTTTAAGCCAAAAGAGGGGAATAGTAGCCATCTTTTTGAGGCCATATCGGCCCGATCTAAAGAAGCCTAAGGGCCAATATACTTAGAGTTCGAGATCTTGTTCTCACTCCATCCGAACCCAAGGGTTCGACTCTCCCGAGCCCAAAATAATAACTTGATTATAGCTCGGGGACTCGCCATTATCCGACACAAACCCTTAAGGGTCATGGTGACTTCGAGGAAGCTACCAGAGACCAAAGTATCGAACACACCGTTCAAAACATAAGATTGTGCTAAAAAAATTTACAAGGCAAAAGACATATTTATAAAGATCGAGAAGGAATTCAAGAGAAACTTTCTTTTATATA